TGCAAAGGCCAAAAAGGACAAAGAAGGTACAAGAAGCAAGAACAGAAAACAGCTACATTTGCTCAGGAGAGGACACTACAGCAAATATAGAAGGTTTGGTTACTGATGCTGCTCAGGGTTTTTAGCTAGTCAGTGTAGGCTGTTTGCTGGGCAGGATAAAGTTTAATGAAGGAGAGGAATGCATACTACTAGACTACTGACTAAGAAAATGAGAACAATAGCTCCAGAGAGTAATTGCGAGAGTATCAGATTCATGTTATCGCTGTCTCACTTTTCTTATGTTGGTCTTTATTCATTATTGAGCTAAAGAACCAACTTTTTTTGTGATTGATTAATCTGAATGTAGCCCATAAAACTTTATTTTTTAAACCTCAAAAACAACCAAACGCATCAATAGACTGAGTAATCTGTCAGGCGAAAGCTCAGTCTTTCAGCTATTATTTTATTACTTAATGAATATTTTTTCAGCATATAAAACTAAATTTGTTGTCACAGAATGCAGGCATAAGGTTTTAAGAGCCTGAATCTGAGACAGACAGACTTTAATCCTTGCACCTTAGTTTTTCCTGTGGTTGTTTTGACAGAGTACAACAAATACTCCTGGTCATTCAAATTAATGACAAATATCACACAATATTTGACTATGCTGACTGACTTTTTCTCAGTACCCCCAAGACACATATTGATTTAGTTTGAGCTTCTCTGCAAGCGCACAGCCTACAAAAGCTGAAAAAAGTAGACTTGGTACATAAACATAATCCTTAAAAATTGTAGTGGCAAATCAGGAAGTAGTGTATGAATGATTTTGAAAGTATTTTTCTGATATCCCAAAGAGCAGAAAAACATTTTTGAAGGTGACAATCTGATATCCACAGGAAAACCCTTTAATAGTTGTAGTGAAGGAAAAATAAACATGGTTATGGAATATAGGTTAATGAGTAAAATGAGTTTTACATGCACATAAAAATAAGTAAGTAACTTCCAGGTAAAGCATATGTTACATATTTTTCCCCTTTTGATATTATACCTGCTGAAGCAGAATCCTTATAGGCAAAGCATCTATTTTCAGAACTCTCCTGGGCTTAGCGAGGCAGCGAGACACAGATGTTCAAATTTCCCACTGGACTCTGTTCTTACACACATGCACATAAAAACTGTGCACAAAAAAAAATCTTCAGGCAGAGAAATTGTCTTGAGAATGGCAATAATTATGCCAATGCAATTAAGAAAACATGCTCCACATAAGCCACATCTCTATTTGTCACCCTATTAAATCAGAAAATCAACAGGACCAAGGCTAAGCTCTATAAACACCATTTACACCATTCTTTCAAGTGAGTCTCAGATGCTGTGGTAAAGTAAATGCATACTTGAGTGAGAAATAAACTGGAATATATAAAAATTCAATTATGCAAGCAAGGAGTGAAGTCATACTGCTGCACGATGTTGGAACTGATAAGCTATTAAGTCTCACAAATGGAAACGCTGACAGTTAAAACGGCCGAGAACACGGAATGTGCTTGCACATGTTCCGTTTGTTGAATAAAGTAAAATGAGAAAAGGAGTGTAGAACTTTGATCACTTTTTCTTTCCACCTCTCTTGCTCATTTCTTTATGCATTTACAGTATATCATTCTCTTTGGATCTCTCGCTCTTGCTGTGATACACGGTGTGTATCAAAAACGCCTCATTCTGTCATTGTCAGCGTGCTAACAGGCTCATTGGACTACCTTGTTATCCAACTCAAACAGTGAGACCTAAAGAAAAAACCACAGCACATTTCCATAATGTTATTGACCGAGTGCTGAGATGCGACGCTGCCTGGAATATACACACATTTGCATGTCTATTACCTCAGAAAACTGCAACTCTTGACATGAGGCAAGGAGAGCCAATTTGAAGCTCTGCTGCACATTCAACATCCTCCAAATATCCACCCACACACAAACCGTTACACACCAGAATCACATTAAAGCTGGAAAGGAAAGCATTTCGGGAGACAGGAAGTAGTGTAATGAAGGCCAATGATGTCCTTTAGAGGGTTAAACACACACACTTGACATGCATGATGGATCAGCTGTGAAATAGGCTGGAAGGCAAAGTTCAGCAAAGCCAGTGTGACAGGAATTTCAAATAGGATGTACCTGTCTATCTTTGCAACATGTCAGGCACTACTAGTGGTGTTTAGATTGTAAAAGGAAGATAATAGGATCGTGTATGACACAGGTGGCAGATTTAGCTGTTGTGACAGCAAGAGAGGATTATACCAGAGAATCTGAGGATGTGAGGCAGATCCTAGTAGCTCAATGAACTGAGGGCTGTACACTCTGTGTACTTGTAGCATGATTAAAAACACTGATTACAGTTTAGATTTATAGCTCAGGTTTCTCTGTATTAGCATCCTGCTCTTTCATTTGAGCTATTGGATATACAGATAGAGAGAGTGTTATGTCTTTCTCACTTACACACACAATACTAGAGGTCAACTTTAAGCAAATTGCATAAATTGTCTTTGTGTCTGTGAAGGTTCTCAATCATTCAGGTCATCGTAGTCAAAGGAGCTTGCAAAGAAAAGCGTCTGGACTTCTTTAAGTTGCTTGAAGACGTTTCACCTCTCTTCTCGGATGAGAGGTGAAACGTCTTCAAGCAACTTAAAGAAGTCCAGACGCCTTTCTTTGTAAGCTCCTTTGATCATAAATTGTCTTCAAGTGCTGGCTTTATCAAGGAGATCGTGTTTTACCACTGCTCTTATGCATAGGCCTGGACCCCCTCAGATGATCATTAACAATGCTGGATACAGATACTAACGAAATGGAGGAAACATTAGCCACCTCATCCATATGAACTACATCAAGCTGTATGACAGGCGTGACCAAGACATTGATTCACTGATCCACACCAATAGGATCTACAACAACAACATTGGGATGTCATTTGGACTGGAAAAGTGTACTCACAGAGAGTAACACAGGGGCGACCGTGGCTCAAGAGTTGGCAGTTCGTCTTGTAATCAGAAGGTTGCCGTTTCGAGCCCCGGCTCCAACAGTCTCGGTCGTTGTGTCCTTGGGCAAGACACTTCACCCATTGCTTACTGGTGGTGGTCAGAGGGCCCGGTGGCACCAGTGTCCGGCAGCCTTGCCTCTGTAAGTGCGCCCCAGGGTGGCTGTGGCTACAATGTAGCTTGCCACCAGTGTGTGAATGGGTGGATGACTGAACGTGTAAAGTGCTTTGGGGTCCTTAGGGACTAAATAAAGCGCTATACAAATACAGGCCATTTACCATTTAAGTCCTGAGGAGTCAGCTGAAGGGGAATAACAAGATCTGGGCACTCAACATTAAGGCTAAAGGTCCAGTTTACCATCCCGAAAATGGTAACTTCGATAGGGTTACCTGTCCCAGGTAGATATCTGTATATGTACCCTAATGTGCCATCCATTCCAATCTGCAACCAGATATTAATAAATCATAAGGAGATCTATGAGAAATTTTATCCTCCTTGCATAATTCAGGTTGCACTGACGTAAATGCTATCGCTGTTGTACCAACATTTAACTGTTCAGCAATATCCCACTAAACAGCCAACTGTGTTGTAATGCATACAGCAACTCTAAGCAAAAGTGCATTCTCTTGAAAACCATGTGAGTTCATCCCTGATGAGAACTCACTAAAGGTTTGTTTTTAACCTTGAAACAAGATGGGAGGTCAGACACTGTTGTGCTCAGTATAGAATACCCTGATTTTGAGCAGGATGAGAACTGCGTGGACTAACACCAGTTGTGACCTTGATTAAATTGTCTTTAAAATTGAAGTGATTTGTTGTAAAGCTTAACTTGATTGGGTGCTTACTGCTATTCCCAGCAGTTCAATCCTTAGTATTAACACCTGAAAAACAGTTTTAGAAACAGAAGCTCAGTGCTCTATTTTATTACCCAACAGTAGACCATTTGATGAAAAACCAACTTTCAGCACTCTGTGTCATTTTATGATCATAAATTAAGTCTCAATATGAACTCTGACCATAAGAAATATAATTTCTTTTATATAAATGGAACAGAAAAGTAGAATGAGAGATTATTAAACCACTGTGTCATCCGGTGTAATTTAATGGAAATTAATATAATGAAGATACTACATGATTGCGGACCTCCCAGCCAGTGGCACCATTCTATGTCAATAGAGTAAGCCATTATGTATGAGTGTACCATTATAGTACTTATAGTAAGTATTGGTACTTCGTGTTGTTGGTATGTTGCAGAGCTGCGATTGATGTTTTTTTCTAATCCAAACTTACCCGAATACTTTAAGTGATAACTGTATCTCTTGCCAGTCAGATATCATAGTAATGCCACATAGTTACAAAGTGGCAGTGAAAGTAGAAGCAAGATTATGAATATAATTTCCTGATAGAGGTGTGGCTACAACTAGAAACCATCAAATATTAAAGAATTCAGTGACTTCTAGCAAATGTTGGTGAACCAACTAGAACCTAAAGTTCTAGACAAAGTGTGTGTGTACCGAGGTAATTTTACTTCAACACTGAGGTGCATGCATATTAGTACATACAGAGAGTTGCCTCTCCAACCAGAATTCAATTCAATTTAGTTCAATTCAGTTACATTTTATTTATATAGTGCCAAATCCCAACAATAGTTGCCTCAAGGCACTATATTGTAAGGTACACTGTGGCTACTGTGGCTCAGGGGGTTGGGAATCGCATCTGTAACCGGAAGGTCGCCGGTTCGATCCCTGGGCTCTTTGTCCTGGTCGTTGTGTCCTTGGGCAAGACACTTTACCCTACTTGCCCACTGGTGTTGGCCAGAGGGGCCGATGGCGCGATATGGCAGCCTCGCTTCTGTCAGTCTGCCCCAGGGCAGCTGTGGCTACAACTGTAGCTTGCCTCCACCAGTGTATGAATGTGAGAGTGAATGAATAGTGGTATTGTAAAGCGCTTTGGGTGCCTAGAAAAGCGCTATATAAATCCAATCTATTATTATTACACCCTAATTTTAGTTTAGTTTTTTGTTTGTTTGTTTTTTAGTTACAGTTAAGTATGAAAATCTTGATGCAGATGACAGCCATTGTGTCTTTCCGTTTTAGTTTTTAAATTAACGTTGCTATATTTGGTCAGTGAAAGGAGGGGAGTTGATGTCTTACTACCACCTTGTATCTGAATCAGTATGTTAATGACTACATTTCCATTCCTTGGGTTCATTTGAATCCAGCAGGTGTCTAAATAACCCAAGGGATGCTGTAAAAATGAGCCATGTGTCAAACAGTTCAAAAATTTACACAGTGCAGTGGTTTGAATATACTATATTTGGCAACATAAGAGGACTGCAGTAAGAATTGCTACATATTAAAGTTTAACACAATTATGGAATCGTAGCCATATGCACAACCAGTAGTGTATACCGAAATATCAAAGTGAACTCATAATGGAGAACAATCATAAGCCGATGACCAGCAGCGCTCATTTGTTTATCACAGCGAGGGGATCCAGAAATAAATCTGTGAAAGAAAAACTGCACGCATGGCAGCTACATTAAAAAGACAGAGGAAATTGCCTCACTACCAGAGGCAACAGCTTGGCAAAAGACATGACTCGTCTGGCAGAAAAAGGTGCCAGAAACAATTATTTTTCTCTTTTCCTCACAAAGGAAGAACACAGTTTCTGTTTCCCTCCTGTGGTCTGCTCTCATATGAGTCTTGGGCATGGCATGCCTTTCATGCAGATTGCCTCATTGTTGAAATTAAGAGAACAATGTCAAAAATACTTATTCGTACCACCACTGGTGCCAAAACCCTGACTATATATCCAGACAGAACCTGTTCAGTAAGTAAAACGTTATGATTTCACTATCGAGAATTCAATGCTATCATTATCACTTCAAACAAGGTTGATTTCAAGCCCAGCTCTGACGAAAAATGCACTCAGACTGATATAGCATTTAGTTTCAATTCAGCAAGACAGGTTGAAAATGGGTTTCAGCAATATTATTCAACATCATTGCACTAATAATAGTGAACTTAACATTTACATACTGCTGTTTATCATTTATTCAGAAAGTTGGCCGCTGGTTATCTTTTTTAGTTCCACAAAATCAACCCTCGTAGAAATAAAACATATTGGTCAGTGTCTTGTTGGGGTATAGAATGCCTCTAATTCTGATTTGATAACAAATAATAACCTAGTTAAGATCACAGATAACCAGAGTTGGCAAAAGTACAGACTTTCTGTGCTGTAGAAGTACAAATACTGTTAAAAAATACACCAGTAAAAGTTCAGGTACTGATTCATGTTATTTATGCAAGTACAAATAAGAAAGTATAGGCTCGGAAATGTCCTCAAAGCAAGAAAGTAAAAAGTAGCCCTTTGGAGGATGTCTCTATTTTTGTACAGAGCTAACTGGACCTTGTACTATGTTAATGTAACGATAAAATAATATCAGTAGATGGAAATACAAACCTTTTTTATTCTACTTATACTCTGCTTGAATCTGAAGAATGAAAATAAAATTATCTATTTTCTGTTGCCTACATTGTAGAGGGTGACGTTGCTTCTAAACAGGAATATATATATAGTTAGGGGTTAAAGTGGGATTCAGCAAGTGGAGGAACCCTTAAATTAGTTGTAGAGGCTCAGTATGAGGAAAAGAATCATAACTCATAACAATAATTTCTATTGTGAGCTCCAGTAGATTTTCTTTGTGTATAGGCTGTGATCAGCTGACCTGTTGCTCTTTGTAGATTTGCAAAATGTCATGTGTTGTTCTGGCTGATTTCCATCCTCTACACTGACTTTATGCTGTGTTTTTCTAGATCAGGGGCGGCCAACCAGTCAGAGACCAAGAGCCACTTTTTTTTTTTTTTTACTGTGTTACCACAAAGAGCCCCATCATACACATGGGCACACATGGGCATCACCCATCCTTTCCTCTCTCTCTCACACACACACACACAAAATACACACATCTCTGCTCAGTCAGATTTATTGTAAATGTCACACACCAACATGATGACAGAAATGGACTCCTACAGTACTAAAACCACACGCCAGTCACTTTCAACAATGAACATTGTGTGCACTGTCTCACACACACACAAACTCTCAGTTCAACCAAGTCCACAAACAAAAATATAATAATCTACAATAGCATTTTTCTTTTACAATGCATGATGTTTATTGGGAAATCTGGCAATCCTTGCCTTGAACAGTCCTCTTCAGATCTGGCTTGTATTCCGTCGTTGTCACTCGACGCAATTCTTTCACATGAGTGTCAGTCCGAACAGATCGATGCTTGGATTTCACATGTTTCAGGGTAGAGAAAACTCGCAGAAGTATGTTGACCCAAACATTGACGGTATCTTAAGCGCAGCCCATTTGACATTGGGATATTTTTCCATTGGGACACTTTTCCAGAACTCAATGGTCTAAATTGGTCCTCCTCACAAGGATCTATCAACTCCAACTCAGCCGCAGCTTCATCTGTGACTAGCGGGACTTTCAAACAGCCCGTGTCTGCATTAAATGCGTTGACGAGAAACGTAATCTGTGGCCTTTTCAATTGTAGATCATGGAACCGGGTCACGAAGCTTTCGTGCAAGTTTTCAACCAGCGTTGCATATCTGGCTCTTTGCTTACTCAGGGCGGCGCTGGCGACTTGCCTGCTGGCTTTTAGCAGAGCGGGAAAATGCGTTAAATCTCCCTTTTGATTATGCATCTTGAACAGCTTCAGTTTGGTGCACACACTTTGCAGCATTTTTAACTTACCCTGCAGGGTCAGGTTCAGTCTGTCCAAGTGACACAGCATGTCGACCAAAAAGGCCAGATCCATAATCCACTTGAGGTGCGAGAGCTCGGGATAGTCCTTGTCCTTCTCTTCCATAAACAGTTTCACGGCATCCAAAAGCTCAAAGAAGCGAGAGAGTACCTGGCCTTTTGACAGCCACCTCACAGTGCAGTGCAGCGGCAGGTCACCTGGAAGCCCTTGGTCCAGCTCAGCGATGAGATTCTTGAATTGCCTGTGGTTAAGTGCATGAGTGCGGATGTAGTTGACGATTTCCATCACAGGCTTCATGACGTTATCTAAATGAAATGATTTAGACACAAGTTGCTCCATGTGGATGATGCAATGGAAATTCCAAAACTTCGTTGCCAACTGAGGCTTGTCTTGTATATCACAACTCTCATCCAATGCGACACTAAAATACTCACATGCTTGAAGGTCAGAGTGCAACTGTGATTCAATAGCCGTGTTAATGTCCGACATTCTGTGTTCAACAGTGTGGCGGGACAGTTGGACGTCTGACACCATGCTTTTTAGGTTGTTGTTTTCAGGAGACAAAATTTCAACAACGTCACTGAGGCATTTTTTAACGCACTTCCCTTCATTGTATGGCTTTTTAGCCCGTGCAATGTTCCAAGCCAGCTGATAGGATGCGAGCGTTATGGTCTCTGACCGCTTCGTAAACTTTTTGAAAAACTGTATCTGCTTTTCTACCTGACTTTTCAAAGTGGCAAACTCGTGCTTGCGAAGTTCAGTCCCTTTTGGAATTCCCGGTCAATGTTAGCACGGAGTGAGCTGAAGTGGCGCTAAAGATTTAAAGCTTTGAAATGCGCTAATGATGTCTGACACATAAGACAGAATGGCTTGCCATTGCGTTCAACAAAAAAATATAAACTCTCCCACTCTGTTAAAAATGGCCTGTGTTCATCTTCATATTTTCGTTTTGCTGTGCATTGCGCAATTGATGAAAATACCGTATTGAACTCAAGGAAAGCAAACGCGCACATTTTAAAACAACAACAACAACAACAACACAAAAAACCCCAAAACACAAACTTTGATATGAACGTAAGAGCGAATAAATCTAAGCATCATCATCTGAAAAACCATGAATCTCTGCTACAATTGAGGTAACCCAACTCTGACCATGAAGCCACAGCCACTGTGCACCAGTCACACACTGTTTGTTACTTTAAATCCATCACAGCGAACTAACCTGTTTATCCTGCACTAAACCGCAGAGGATTTTCATGCAGCCTTCCAGTTTATCACATCCCACTGAGCAGTCCTAAATCTAACCTCTCTTCTTGTGACAAAGTGGGTGAGAACACCATTTGCCCAGATTTTAGGCGTGTTATTCTTAGTTAACATTCTTTTTTTGATTAGTTTATTTAAACTTATTCTGTAGTTTGCAAACATTTACTATCCCAGATTTGTTTATGCTTTGCACTTTTAAAGATTACTTAGTATAACATCTTGGTTTAAATCATCTTTGACAAGTTTATTAAGTTAACATTTTATTTATTTCAACTGTTAGTTTGTCCACTTTACTTTGTTTGAACTCACCTTATTTACCTGTGTTTCAGGAACAAAAGGAGGAAGTGTGCCCTCACTTCCTGTATTTATAGCTTCCTGTTTACTGCTGATGTCACAGGAAGGGGCAGGGGAAGGGGGGGGGGGTGAAAGGGGAGGTAAAGAACTGGCAAAGAGTAGCATAAGTGTATAATTATGATTGTAATGTCTAGTCTTACCCATTGAATGGAGTATTCCTTAGGAGAACAGTGTGTTTGGATAGCTTAAGTATTTAACCTCTGGGGGGTCCTAGAAAAATGCATACACTATTGGGCTTAGAGCCACAAATCGACCACGCCATGAAAAGTGCTATAAAATATCTATGTATTAATATTTTTTTCCACTTTAAATTAGCCAATCTTTTAGACCTACTTCTCCTTGAAATATTCATATCAAGTTTTAATTACATTTCGCGGATTTTAACCCTTTATATCCCGGTTTCGTCACATGGCCGCACTGTTTTTTTAGCCCCAAAAAACAAAGAAATCAAATATTTCCCAAAAGATACAATTCCAAGGCCCGGACTCCCGAGTACCACCAACATTCGGAAGATGGCCCATTATTTGGTTGTAATGACCGTGGAATGGGAAATAGCGTTTATAATGGGTTTCAATGGGGCACAAATCGACCACTAGGACCAATAGTGTAAGTTTATCTGTAGCTCAGCCACTGAAGCTAATTTAAGGGAGTCAGACTGGAATTTTGAAATATATGTAACCAGACTTTTTTTTGGAAAAGTTGGCTATATTCCGTTCAACACAGTGCAAATGGCGTGTATACGAACAATGAAAAATGGCACAAATCGACCCAAGACCACCCAAAGGTTAAGCAGAAGAAAGCTTGCCAGTTCAAGTTCAGTTATGTTTATTTACACCAAGTTATCTTTGGAGTTATTGAGTTTTTTTATGTTTGTAAATATTTTTGGTCATAATGATGATAAATTATGATTATGTTTGTGTGTTTGCTGATGTTTGTTGAGCTAAAAGAAACGTTGCATTTGAAATTACCAGCCACTTAAAATAAGTTACTCCCCTTAGGTTCGCTCCTCTTCTGTAGGGCTAGCTAGATGCCGGAGTACCCTAACCGCAACTTACAGACACCTGCAGTCGTTCCGGTATTGTGCCAAAAAAACAAACAAACCACTGTCCTACTTTTAACACACGCATGTCTCTTTATGCAACATCTCCTTGTGATTAATACAAGAACAGGATTTTCTTTGGGGGGAGTGTTTAGAAAAATGTAGGAAAAATGTAGGAAGTAAAAGTATAAAGAAGTCTCCCCCTTGCCGTAGCGTTTGCGTTGTACCTTGTCAATCTCTAGTTATGATACCAGTTGCTCCTTCCGGATGTTGGAACTCTGGGCTACTAGTTATTTTGCTGTTAGTCTAGATGCTGGATGTCTGAAATTTCATACCTCCCAAATCGTCTTCATGTACTTTCTTCCACTGGGATTACATCTGTAGTAGCCTTCCAACATTTCCCTATTATTTTACCTTGTCCACTTCCTGTTCCAGTAGCTCACCCAAGCGTATTAAGATGCTGTTGTAATGTCAGGAAGAGTTGGGTACTGCTCATGTTTTCCTTTAAATGAAATTTTAGCCTCTTACATGCTTACATTTTACCGAATAGATCACATTAAAAATACTTTAAATTAATCTTTATCTGTTCCTGGTTGGAATGTAGCCATAAATGGTAATTCATAGTGCTTTGTTTCCTGATTTCAAAAGCATGCAGATGTTTATAATTGCCTAATGTCTACGAAGCTCATGCAAAGTTTCATTGAGATGACTTGTTGAAGATCAGATAGGATGCATACATACATGCATACATTACAATGGTTAAAGTAAGAAGATGCTCCACGAACGATATTGTTTATTACCGGCCTAAGTGAAACTCTACAACTATGGTTTACAAATTAAAGTCAAGGTAATCAAGCTTTGATACACCACACAAACAACATTGCAGCCAATGTTTTCTGAGTCAGTCATTTGAGTGTGTCTCTATAAGAACAGATTTTTGTGTTGGCACTGGTTCAACTTTATACCAAGTGTCAAGACAGTTATATGGCAAGCCAGAAAATCCAAGCTGTGGCATCTCTTCAGAGAATAAATGAATGCTACAGCAGCATGGTGCACATCAAACTAGATGAATGCTGGAGCAATGTGGAGTAAAGCTGACAGCGAACACCTGCTGATGATATCTAACACTGTGGGCTCTGCAGGAATCGTCATACAACTAGATTTGTTTCTCTTTTCACTCATGTACTACAGTATGTGACATTAACAGACATGTATGGAAGGAAAATAAATAAATACGAAACAAGAAACTCAGCAGGGGTGAGCATTTTAAAACCATCTTACTTCTTTTTTGAATTAATGCATATAAAATGATTAGTTCTTCTCAAAGGTCACAACACTCAACAACCCACACGTACACAGTGAATGCATATAAATATCCACAACTGTGAATGAACGACTGCTGGTGTTAGAGTACACACAGCTTGATTTGCTGTAGCTGTCTCAGCAGACAATATAGCAGTGATACAAAGCTGCTAGGGAGAGTCAAATTAACAAGCTCAGAAAGGAGGAGGAGAAAGTAGAGAGTGAGGAAGACAAAAAGTCCAAACAATACACTGAGAGGCGGGGGAAAGTCTAGGGTAACATTATACAGAGCCCTCCAAACAGTGGAATTACATTTACTCTAAAAGGCACTTCCACTGGCAGCATTTCCACTGGGAAGCACCACTGACAGCTTCTTGTGTCTTATTTTTCCATTTGAAAAGGGAGCTACTTTTGACACCACTGAGAACCAAGTGTGTTTTAAAGCTCTTAAAACACCAAGGGCCCGGAAAGAAAAAAGCGTTTCAACTTAAGCAGGTGCACCACAACAGCTTTTTAAAAGTCTCACAAAACGGCACAATATGCCTCTGTTTGGGGAAGAAACTGGCCTACATTTCAGTAAATTGTAAGTGCTTAGCATAGGGGCATGTGACAAAGATAGATCCACCCTGAAATGACTAGAAACCTCAGGATATTATTATACAGGGTATTATTATTATCGTTATGTTGTATTCTACATCTCATTCTCCACCTTACCACCAGGAGACACAGTGATGCTTACTTTAGGATACAGTAAATTCAAAGCTTGTTAGACATGTTTTTAGACAACCCTACAGTTTTGTGGCATTGAAAAACAAATGTAATATATTGTAATGAAGGTGGAGCACTTTAACACAGATGTCTTTCAGAAATGGATGTTTTTTATGGAATAATGGTGGTTACTTTATTGCACTAGTGGATCCAATTTTCATCTTGACCTCATGAAGATTCATTTAAAACTAAAGAAAGGCAGCTGATTGTGAGCAGCAAGCATGGAAGGTTTTATGCAGATTTTAGACCAACTACAATTACAAACTTGAAGGGCATAATATCTTCTCATTCTGCTTGTATGGCAAAAGCACATTCGTAATGATATTTTTCATGACGTAGAACACCATTTCATATGCAAAAAAATGTAATAAATGGTTTGCATGTAGTTAAAATGGCAAAAAAAAATATCTTGACCATTTTTTAATAATCTCCAACAATTTGACACTTTCCAAATAAAAGTGTTGTTAAGACTCCAGTTGTTCCGCTAGCCTCCATTCTACAGAGGAAAACAAAGGCACTGACAGATGGTAGCAAACAAAAACGAATAGTGAAAGTAAAAGTGCAGCTTATTTGAGTATCAGTGCCAATTTTGTCATTATGCAGCAATTTGAAGTTTCCAAGACTAAGCAGACCCACTTATTCAGCAGGTTATAGAACCACTTTTAGTTGAAATAACTTGAAGTTATCGTCTCTCTCATTTTGGAGGGCACTATGTCCTGACACATAATTTAAATTGGGTTGAGACCTTTATTCTTTTTCTTTTTTCCAAACATGGCACTATTATGGTCAGACATCTCTACTTTGGTCTTATCTTCCCAAAGGACTTTGCTTCAGAAGTCTTGTGGTTTGTTCAGACACACCTAGGTAAAGCGGAGCCATCTGCACTCTTCTTTTTAGACATAAAGGGCTTTTCCCCCTGTGAACCCACCCAAACAAACCACACTTGTTCAGGTTTTTTTTCGAATTGTACTATCATGAACTTTCAAATCCCATAATGGAAACAAATGACCGCTGCTGAGAATTGGTGACAATAAAAAGTATCACACATTAAGAAGACATCAGCATATTAATGTACTTAAATTTATATTTAAATCGTGGTTGTAACATGTTCACATGACACTTCTTATTATTAATTTCACTTAATTAATGAAATTATTATTAATTTCATTAATTACACAGAGATTAATCTTGGCAGACTCTTGCAGTTGAATAAAGTATGGTTTATATGAGTAATGAGGTGTCCTTTCACATCCTCTGTTCTTCTGAGCTGCATTAGCACAAGGGACCTGAGAGCATTGCGATTGGTGAGAGATCAGACAGCCAGCATCTGTCTCTCTCTCTTCCACTTATATACAGCTCAACACACCCGTTCACATATACACTCTTACACATGCTCACACAGCAGCCCAGACATCTGGTGGGGCTCTAGTGGGTCTTGCCACTGAGGTGCTGGGACTCTTACAAGGACTAAAGATACTTCAGCAGTAATGACATATCCCTATTGACCAGACCGGGCAGAAAAACAGGAAGTAGGGACAAGACAGTGTCAGAGAGGTCATTCATCTGGGGAGAGTGATTTAAATACAGTAGAGTCAAAAAGATATTAAATCCTCTGCCAGAGATCAAGGTAATTTTCAAGCACTGACCAGTATCCAGAGAGAAGTGTTATTGAACTGAGCTTTACTTAAAGGCAGGCCTTTAACTGAACCATGTGTTGTCATTGTTGTTTGTTTTTTTGTTTTTTTTTAAATAAATATAATTTGTAGGTTTTAACACAATAATGCTAAGCAGGTTTATTTGTTCCATGCTGCAGCTTGGCTTTGCTCACAGACTATGACTTTGAAATACTCAGTAAATCAGAACATAATGTCACCCCATGACATGCCCTCACTCTCTTTGATATTCTTATGCTTTCCCATCAGAGGGGTCATGCAGGCAG